GTACGATTTACTGGGTGGGTTGGATTCTTACAGAGTTGCAGAGGGGCAGTCGGCGTATTCTGAAGCTCCAGACAATAGAGCTGTAACTTTTCAGAAAGATAGAATATGGAGACTGACATTGCATTTAATTTTTTTGCAGATCGTATTTGACAGCAAATAAGGAGTGAGTGAACAACGAGACTGTCTTAGAGAAAATAGTAACAAAAAAAAAAGAACACTTATGCTCAGAATCAGAGACATTTGAAAATTATTCGGCACATAATGAGGAAGAATGACTTGGAAAACTTAACTCTCACAGGACATATCAAAGAGAAGAAAGATAAGGGACGGTATAAAAAACCCCACATAACTGACAGGTTTTATCTTTAAAGAATAGTAGACGAACCAAAAAAAAAATGATACCACAAAGTCTCGTTCTATCTTCTAACCAATCTATGACCAGGTTAGGAAAGATAATCTAATTCTCAAGTCTGACTTCCTTATACTATGGTCTAAACTGGTAAGAAATAAAAAAAATAAAAAGAAAATGTAAAAAGCTATTTCAAAACAATATTCGAAATATTCCACTGTGTTTCTTGTGACTTGGAATCTGTGTGTCATGCAGGGCATACGTTTCAACATTATATATGTTATGGGGTCCACCCCTTTTTCATACAAGTGGACTCGACCAGTGTGTACGTGGACTGCTGCTGTTAAATACCCAGAGTCAGTGAGAGCAGAGAATGTGATTGAGCTGGAGGTAGAGTTATAGTGTGAGGTAACCGCTTGTAGAAGTCACAGTTACAAGCAGGTAGACTCTAAGTAAGCCCTACTTCGAGACTGGATTTACCAGACTATCTATCTATCTATCTATCTATCTATCTATCTATATATATATATATATATATATATATATATATATATATATATATATGTTTATATGTTTCATTAAAAACGACAGACAAGGTACTACGGTTGAGCTTTTTATTTAATTTTTCTTGTGTTCTGACAAGAGCTTTCTTTTCTGGACAAAGAGTGTGTAAGAACTGTCCGAATGTTTTGTATTTCCGAGCGCTTTCGGCTATGTCTATAGCCATTATCAAGGATGATTCAATTATCAGCTTAGTAGAGTGTGTGTGTTCTGTGTATGTTCAGTGTGTGGTAGTGATGTTTTTAGTTTCCGAATACGGTTAGCACATTGTGGCTTTGTTCATAGTTAATATTGTTAAGAGTTGGCTTTTTCTTTTTTATTATTAGAGCTTCCATTATTTTTAGTCTTTTTTTGCAAGTGGATGCAGTTAATATATTTGTGTTTTCTACTAGTATGTTCCAAATAGTGTCTGGTAAATCTGAGTGTGTGTTTAAATGTGTTCTGATGGAACTGTGATCAGATAGGTGTAATGTAAGACGTCTGGATAAACATGTGGTTGTGTAGCCGATGTAATTATTTATGAGTCCGGTTTGGTGAGGAACGCAGTTCCTTAAAGGGCATTTGAACTCATAGATAATGTTTGTTCTTTGTAATTTTGACTTAGTTGGTGTGTTGTTATTTTTGAGGATAAGGTTGGCTACGTAGAATTTCATCCTGGAATCCACAAGAATATAAAATCGTGTATTATTTCCGTGAAAATATAATTTTATATTAATAAAATATTCTACAAAAAGAATAGATTTCCCACAATTTTATGACAGTCTTATATATGCTTAGTCTTAAGGTAATAATATATGACATAGTAATATATTTCTTTATCTTAGGGTATCCAAAAGGTCATTATTTTTTACTAGTAATGTAAAAGAAATGTAAGTTAAATTTCTGTTATTTTAATTCGGACAATTGAGCTCATCTTTGTCGAATTTATTACGTTTCCGCACTTTGTGGCCTACGTTCATTAAAAATTTTAACCCTTCTGCCTGAGCACGCAAGTCAAAATTCGCAAATAATTGATAGGTAATATTTCGTGGTAGATATAAAAATAATTACAAGAGTTTACCCACACTTCAACCGGTGGCTGAGGATTAAGTCATTTTTCTCTACCACTGTTCAACCGGTGGCTGGGTATTAAGTCATTTTTCTCTACCACTGTTCAACCGGTGGCTGGGTATTACGTCGTTTACCTGTAGCACCGGTAAAGCGGTGGTTAGGGATCAAAGGGTTAAAATGATAATTAGACGATATCCCAAGAAATGAACAGTGGAACGAGGTCTACTACCATAAATTAAGAGGAGTTCAATTCAGAATTCATTGTGAGCGATATGCACCTGATGATGGCCGAAGGATACAACACCCGAAACGTTGTGATAACAACAACAAAGGTGAGGAGAATATTCCGAACATAAATACTGTAAATTATGTTAAATGTGACTAACTATTTGTGAGCTTATAATGAACTTCAGTTTCAACGTCGATGATAAATAGAAAACGAAACTTTTTGATTCCCCGTTTAAAATAATCCGTTTTTACCCCGAATAATTTTTGAAAGCCTGTTTTCATTTTTTTTTTTTTTTTTACCCATGCACACTAAGCAAGGCGGGAGTACCACTAGCACGCAAGGGTTTACAGAGGATTGAGGACAAGAGTAAAGGTGCATGTTTGAGGAAAGGATACAGAGAAGGACGGGGAAGAAGCTCAGGCGTTCAGATATCGATTGACATTAAACTTGAATATTTGAAGAGTATAGTAATCGTGGAAGCAAGTAAGGGGAAGGGAGTGGCACAGACGGGAAGTGCGAGAATAATTCTTCATTATTTCTGAATGTTCTGCCATTTAACATTTCCCGCGGCGATTGAAATAAACGACAATATTTTCCATTTGGTGAGTATGCAGGTTGTGGAAGAACCTCTCTAATTGTCTTATTTATGTATTAGGCTTCATTGGCAGAATATGCATTTGCAATGAGATTCTGGCAAACAACACCTTTATGTTAACCAAAGCAAGACAAATTCGATCTAATGCTTCGGCTAGGTAAACAAGTGTTTGGCAATAAACGTCTCCAGTTATAGTTCTTCGAGGATTCCCCTAACTTGTAATGAACACCAACTTACATATTTCGTCAGGCACAAAGCAAGGATGGAATCATAGTTTTCATGTTGTCACTTGTTTCTCATTTTGGGATAAACACTGTTTTTTTTTTCTATTGGCATATGAAACCAATTGTCCACCACATGTAAAGAAGGGCATTACAACATGGAAGAACAGTAAACTTGATTAAAGACTGATGCTGACAGGAGAGCAACATATTCCATTCTCAAGCAAATCCTCATGAGGAATTCAAATTCCGTCTTTGGAATTTTTCCATGTTAACTCTATAAAAAGATACTGTCAAAGAGGAGCGATTATAAACTAATTATTTACGCAACGATTTACCATCCAACCGTGGCTCGGCCTTGGTTAAATCATAAGTCCAACTCGTGCCAAAGGTAATCCCTTTTCCAAAACACTAAAAATATTTATCATTTCATATATCACCCTTTTAATTTTAAGGGCAATTAATTCTATGTACATTTTTATTAAAGAGTAAGAGTAGTTTCTTTTAAATTTGAAGGTCTTCCAACTAAGTTCTTAAGACTGTGAATATGTGTCAGCCATATTAATATAGAAACAAATAAAGAGATTTATAATTTACATGAAAAATAGACTAATGAAATTTCTACGGCTCATGAGAAAAAAGTGCTTGAAGAATTAAGGACTCACAAGACATATCGAAGCTAAGAAAAACAAAAGTCGGCAGCACATAACTGAACTAATGTTCTTGTGCGGATGATTGACAGAACAGGGATTAGAAGAGACAGCATAAACACAAGATTTACTAAACGCTATAAAGGACAGGGAATTGTTGGTTGTTTTTTTTTATTTTGTTTAGTGGCTTATCAGCCTCTATGTGTTGTGTTATGACGAAATCTAAAGTTTTTGTATGTAAAGTTATTTTATTTTTGGAGATAATAATGGTTTCTTGATACAAGTCCTAATAATTAAATCATAGCCGTTTAACGAGAAATGGATTCATACCTTTTCTAATGGTATTTGTGTGTAAGTGAACATAAGAAACACAACTAGGACTGGAACATGGTTCTCTGATTCAGAGCTATTATCCATTACACTATATGTAAATAACCCTTTATAGCACCCTGTATACGGAAGCAGTCGCTCAACTATTGCTGATCTGTTTCTACGTTGCTTAACTTCGGCGATCGTAAAGAAATTGTGTAGAGCCAACGTCCTGAAGGAAGACAGTGCATAGAAAAAAATATTATAATATACGCCAGAACGGATAAGATAAATATTTTTAGAGGGATATCGTTCAGAATGTTGTTTTATCGCAACAGTTTTACTTCATCTACTTTCAGCTAATACATTAAAATATTGACCCAATCCAAAGAAACATAGGTTTGATAAATGAAAATTAATAATCTCAGGTGATTAACTATCTGAAACCATTTATTCCGTTGTCATGGGAATGCAGTTTCTTTATATAAGAAGGAGACAGAATCATCATTTAGGAAAAGGAAATTGTGAAATAAAAGCGACTTATTACAATTGTATCTTTGAAAATAGGTTTGTTAAATGACTAATATTGAATAAAGTTATCGATGGTTTCAGTTACGGACTGTTATATTTACACTGTATTCACAAGTATAGAAGGCTTTTGAAAATCTAGTTATTTGTGTATTTGGCCCGTTCCTACAAGAGAATTTATGAATTAAATATATATTGATTATTTTTCTGAATTGATTTAATATTTCTTTATTATATTTTCATCATAATTCGTATCATTTTCGTTTTCTGTCCTCTTTCTTTCCAATGATTCTACTTCTTTGCAATTATTTTTCTACTTGTTCCTTCTGTAATTTTATTTTCTTCACTTCTAAATGCATATTTTCTGCTATCATACTATTTGTTCTTTTAGTTTTTTGCTTAAATTTATATTTTTTTTTTATTTCAATTATCAGCCTTTCTGTCTTTACACTTTGAATTTTCTTTCTTTCATTTACATTTTTCTTTTTTTGCTTTATATGTTTTTTTCATGTTTCATTATTTCTATTATATTCTTTCTTTTTTCAGTCTTTCTTTTTTCAGTCTTTCTTTTTTCGGTCTTTCTTTTTTCAGTCTTTCTTTTTTCGGTCTTTCTTTTTTCGGTCTTTCTTTTTTCAGTCTTTCTTTTTTCGGTCTTTCTTTTTTCGGTCTTTCTTTTTTCGGTCTTTCTTTTTTCAGTCTTTTTTGTTGTTTATTTTTCTATCTTCTTGTTTACTTTCTTTTTTCTCGTTTTCTTTCTTTCTTTCTCTTTCTCTTTCTTTCTTTCTGCCTTTCGGAATTTATTTCATGCGCGTCTCCTCACGCAGAATTGTTTAAAGACATTAATTCATATCTTATCCTTTGTTACCTTAAAAACATTTTCTTTTCTCCTTATCAACCAACATTTCTCTTATATTTTCTGTTCATCCATCTTTACTTCTCACATTGTTTCATTTATTTTTCTCATTCTTCTCCGGTATATGATTTCTTCGCTTTCTTTATCATTCGTTTATCGATTCATTTATTCTTTCTTTCATTCCTTTTTTAAATTTTTCTATTTCTTTCAAGTTCAACTTCATTTTTGTTTATATTTCTTTGCATATTTTGAATTTATTCTTTCATTTAAACTTGTTACTCAGTATATTTGAGTAATTAAATGTAATTTCATTTGTATTCATGTTCTCTTTTGTTCTTAAATCATTTCACCACAAGTAAGGCATTAAAGCCCCTAGTACGCAAGAGGTGACTGGGTGTTAGAGAATACGGGGGAAAAACAACTATTTAGAAGAGACGACACTAAAAAAAAAAAAATAAACAAGAATTAAGACAAAAGATAATGATTGACATTGAATTTAATTTTGAAGAAAAAGTTCGACTGGTAAGCAAGAAGACGAAAGAGAGTTCTACAAATGCGAGAGAACAAATATTAACATAGAACGTACGGTTCAACTGTAAAAATGATAAGACCTTTCTGTAAATCTATTACTATGCTTAAATTCAAAGAGTCGAGGTACAATGGCAGAAAGTAATACTTATTTTGAAAAATACAAAAATGTGGCAGAAGGCCAAAAACACATAGGGGGATGCACTTCAATATGTCTTAACTTAAACTTAGTTAGCCACGATTACTCACTCCTATACGCCACGCTATTCCTTACACCAAAACAACAGATTCTTACCATTCTTACTACAGCCAGCGTAATATCTCAGTGCTACTTTGGCTTGTTACCTCCAAGGAAATATATATACACCGTGCAAATTTAATTTTGGAATAATATCTACATAGTAAAACTGGTGCTACTTTTGCTTGTTATCTTTCACTTGTAGATAACAAGCCAAAGTAGTCCCATGTGTTATATGTAGATTTCATTCCAAATAGAAATTTGTACTGTGTAGACATTTTGGCCTAAGTATCTGCTGTTTATCGCTAGAATATAAATAAAAGAAAAAATTGTAATATTTTCATTAAGTTTTCTTTTCATTATATATGTTATAATATGTTGTACTATGTAGATATCATTCCAAACTAAAATATGTACCGTGTAGATAGTTTTCTATGTACATAAGTAGATATTTCTTCATTGTAGACAAGACAAGTGAGTACCAAAGTCTCCATGTAGTCCAAACAATATCTGGGCACCTCTACGTGGTGTAATGGTGTTATGTAGTGGTTTCACAGTGGAGGCTTGTATTTGTACTAAGTCGGTCCTAAAATAGGTTCGACGTACAAAAAGTTAGGAACTTGATATAATAGGTAATGACGCAGTAATCTAGTTCTGGTCGCTGATACTTTAATATCCGACTACCGGTCGTCCGACATCAACTCACTACTGCTACTACTACTCCTACTTATTATAGGTTGAATGGTCTATTAACTATAGAATAGGTGTGTTCCACTATAACAAATGGTTAGAAAGCTTGTCTTGCTAGATCAATTACGACTGAGTAGTGAGTTCGATCCTCACTGGGTGCCCCATACTTTCGGCCTTGTTCCACATCTAAGCCGAGCTTAGAAAATCACTAGTCCAAACAATATCCCATATGTATAATTTGTATTCGGGGGGATAAAAATAACGTTTAGAAATGAAAACCCCATGAATATTTACAATCTATACAATTTATATGCAAGAAACTAAACAAAATCGTGTGAGTAATAAAAAAAACACAATCCTTAACTGTGGCAGAAATATCAATTAACAGGACGAAAGAAGCGAAAAGATCTTCAGAATAATCAGCATGATAATATTCAGAGAAAGGGCAAAGGGTAGCTTCGTTTTGGCTGTGGGAAATGCTCTGAAGCCGGTCTTGATTTTTTTTGTTCCGCGGTTGCAACTGTTAATTGCCCTTTTCTTTATATATACGGCTATTCAAGTATCTTAAAAAATTCTTTTTCTACAAATGCATCATTCATTCATTAATGTGTTCATTTTCCATTACATCAACTACCTTTACTTCTTTCCGATTCAATTCAATTCCATTCTCTCACTAACGAGATAGTCTACCGTAGGTAACTCTTTTTTTATCTAACAATACGTGAATCGCAGATTACAAGAAACGGATTTGTCTCCGCAAAACAAACAAAGCATAGAATTATCGGTAAATAATTTAAATCTTCCATTTATCCTTCCTAATCGCGAAAATATAAATTCAAAGTTGAATCAAAGAAATATTTTCAAAAGAATTTTTAAATTTATTTTTTTTCCCAATTTACATCTACTTCCTCTGTTTTTTTATCGATTCTAAAATTCTTTTAAAAAAGAAATAATATTTTTTATTAGTGGTGGGTACGGAGAGCTGTGTCAAAGAAGACAAATTCAAAGAAAGAATTACGCTTTAATGTACCACAAAGCTCACAGACATTTTTGTTTCATTCTTGGAAAATGTGCAAAAATAGACTAACAATAGACTTCAGGAAAGTAATAAATCAAAAAAAAATATATACTTTAAAAATTATATTGTTTCCATTCTGAATATATTCACTCAATATCAAATAATGTATACAGGATGTATCAAAAATAATTCTACAGTTTCTAGGATTGAGTTTCTCACATTAAGCAAGGAGAAACATCCATATAAACGCATGTCCGCAATCCCTCGTTTTTGAATTATTAAGTTTAAAGAAAGTTTACCTGGAGATGGCATTGTGTTGCCACGTAAGCAACGTTACGTTTGTTAATCGGGTACCTTTGTAGCTAGTTTGATTTCAACGTTTAACGTGCGTAGTAGTGAATTAACTGAGAGGTTTTCCATTTAACAATGGCAGGATAATCATCTCGTAAGCAGGTATACATGTTTTTGTTTGCATACGGCTGTGCGAATGGCAAAAGGCGCGAGGACCAAATTCCTTCCACAACGTAATTGTGGAAAATGCAGCTATAATATTTTCATACATTTTGGAACAACGGCTAAAAATAATGGAAACATTAATAATAAACACAATAAATAGCATTCAATAATATCAACTTTAAACACAAACACAACGTTTTTGAAAAATATTCACATCGCTATATATATATATATATATATATATATATATACAAAAAAAAATGCTTATTCAGTTAAAAGTTTCCTTGATAATGTTGAATCGGATAACCGAAGGAACTTGGATATATGGAATAATTGGACAGTTTTCCCACATTTGATGTCCAGAAATACTTGTAAGCATGAAAGAAAAATGTAATAAAATCTTTAATGAAATTTTATAAAAGAGGTAGTGTTGCCTAAATACACAATTATTTATATATATAAAGACAATGAATGTCTATTGATCATAAGCCGTTCTAAACTTCGTATGGTTGCTTTAATTTTAGGTGAAAATAATGACAAAAATTATCCATCATTTGGATATTTTTATATTAATCAACAATCATCACAGTGTTTATACTGATATTTAGCAAAGAGATGATATTATATATATATATATGTAAGCAAATATATGGATATAGATCCGACAGTATGAAGAAAAATATATACGGAAAAAACAAACAAAAATCCTTATATTCAATTATGCTGTTTTAATGTTAATATGTCAACGTCGGACAAGAGGATAAGTTTGGATAAGTCTTGTTCTTATGTACATCGTCTTTGTCATGTTGTATTGATAATGTTATATTTATGAATATGTCCTGAAGATGGTTTATTAGTCCGAAACGTCCGACGTTGACATATTAACATTAAAACAGCATAATTGTATATAAGGATTTTTGTTTGTTTTTTTCCGTATATATTTTTCATATATATATATATATATATATATATATTTATACACGTTTCATTAAATAATATAGACAAGTGTTGTCTATTTATTTTTATGTAAAAATTTTTCGTATCTTCTGATAAGTTTGATAACATTATCATTAACCGAAAAAAAGAAATTCACAATATTTATCCATTATTTTTAATATAATCTAAGTTTTCGGCTTACTCAAGCCATTATCAAAGATGTAATTACAAAACATATCAAACAATATACGGACACGACAGTGATGATAGTCTGTCATTGTTTAGTTTACATAGTGGATCACTAAGCAACGATGAACACGCGCATATAAGATGCTAGAAGCGAAAATCGCACCGCATCTCATGACGTCACACATGACTACGCGAGAGTGAATTGAGAATGAAATAAGGAAAGCCGTTTGGTATAAAACCAATGGCTTCTGTTACCAATTATAGAAATTATAGACATTTAAGAATATTTGTAGAGATTCCATATTTGATTTTGTTTAGGTTGGGTTTAACTGTTTGATGTATAATGCTTCAAGTATTTTTAGTTTTTGTCTATTGTTTTCATGTCGAAGTATAGTTGTGTTTTCGACAAGTATTTTACGGAATTGTGTGCGGGCAGGCATGTTGTTTTAAATGCCTAAAAATGTTAGAGTTTTCATTAAGATGTAGTGTCAAGCGTCGTGAAAGCGAGTTTGTGGTGTGACCAACATAAATATTATTTAATTCGTTGGAGATACACTCTCCCAAAGGGCACTTGAATTTATAAACTATGTTGGTTTTTGCAAATCGCTAACCGGGGAGAAGAATCATTGAAGTATTGTTGGATATACTAGATTTAGTGTAGTATATGATTAATTTAATTTTTTTGCTAGGATCTGTAGTTGATATATTAGAATTTACTAAATTTTTTAGTATGTGTTCATCTTGTTTATAATTAGTATGCATTTGATTACGATATAGGAGATATATATATATATATACACACATATATATATATATATATATATATATATATATATATATATATATATATATATATATGTGTGTGTGTGTGTGTGTGTGTGTGTGTGTCTGTGTGTCTGTGTGTGTGTGTGTATGTAAATTAAAATATGATGAGTTAATCACGATTTATAAAAAAATGTATGGGAAGTAAGCTGTGTGCCAATCGAAGTGGGCGCAAAAGGTTTTGCTGCATGGTCCTTATGCAAAGCCATAACTGATATTGGCTTGGTACGTTCTAACAAAAGGAAGGCGATTCGAACCATAACTAATGGAGCAGAAAGGGCAGCAAAATTGTTAGGGATTAAATGTGAAAGTTTT